CCCGCCGCCGAGAACCATCAGTTCTCTATAGCTGAGTGTTTCTTGGTTTGCCTCTCTCTCTCTTTTTTTTTCCTCTTTGCTCATTTGTTTCTTAAATTCCACATATGAGTGAGATCATATGGTATTTGTCTCTGAGTGACTTATTTATTTTGCTTAGCATAATACTCTCTAGCTCCATCCATGTCATTGCGAATGGCAGGATTTCATTCTCTTTTATGGCTGAGTAATATTCGTATATATACATATATATATATATCACATCTTCTTTATTCATTCATCATGGGCTGTTTCCATAATTTGGCTGGTGTAGATACTACTGCTATAAACACTGGGATGCATGTATCCCTTTGAAGTAGTATTTTTGTATGCTTTGGGTAAATACCTACTAGTGTGATTGCTGGATCATAGGGTAGCTCTAGTTTTAACTTTCGGAGGAACCTCCATACTGTTTTCCAGAGTGGCAGCACCAGTTTGCATTCCCACCAACAGTGCAGGAAGGTTTAAGTGGGGAAAACTTAAAAGATTATTAACTGGTAAAAGTAAAAGGTCAATAACTCCTAAAAGGAGTAAAGGAAGATTCTAGGGTGGAGAAGTAGTAAGCCCATAAAGCAGATGCTCCGTCTGGGGCTGAGGGGTAGTCAGCAAGGACAGACCTCAGCCGAGGGCTGCACGCCTGGGAGGCTGAGGTGGAGGTCTGCCCCGTGGGGAGGAGACACACGGTGGAAGGCACAGTCCACGGGAGCAGCCTGCCGGGTGGGGTGGAATTTGCGGGAGGGTGTGGCCCAGAGCTACTGGATGGGAGGAGCCTGCTGGCTGGTCAGAACACTTGCTGGAGGGCGTGGGCCCAAGTTGGTCCATCAGAGGGGCCTGCCTGGTAGTGGGGAAATTTAGTGAGGGTGGGCTGGTCTGGGAGGGCCACTGAAGGGCGTACCCCAAACCACCAGCCTCCTGGCTGCTGAGCTAAAATGGCACACCGGCACCAGGAAGAGAGCCCCCTTGCCCTGCTGTGGCCTCAGTGGCCCTCCAGAGCCAGCTGTTGACAAAGCCGGATAAGAAGCCATCTGACAGAGGAGAAACGACAATGTGCAGCCCCAGGGTCACAGCACAGGGCGGAGGAGGGTGGACTTGGAGCCTGGAGGCCATAGATCTGAGCACCACACACCTACCTGCCCTCCTGTGAGCCAAGCCTCGCCTCTAATTCCAGATCCCTTGTTTCTTGCATCTGGGCCCCTGCGGTTCTCAGTGTGATCCTGGTGTTGCGAGTCATTCTCTGCGTGCGAGCGGCTCGGTCACGTCTTCCCATGTGCTGTGGCGGCGGGGCGGGGGGGGGGGGCATGGAACCTGGCCTGCTGTAAGTCCCAGTGAATACACAGTGGCTGAGGTCTTTACTGGGCAGGGAGGGGAAAGGGGTGTGTCCTCACCTCACCTTCCGGTCCTCTGCTTCCATGTGGTCTTGACTCCAGAGCAGCTTTGACGTGGGGGCTGAGTGTGCCTCCCTGGGGGAGAGGGCCACTGGCTGCCGGCCGGACGTGGGCTGCAGTCGTGCTGTATCTCAGGACTGATGGGTTGTGGATGCCTGTCTGTTGCCTCTCATTCTGGCAGTGATTATGACCTCTCCTCCTCTGGGTTGGAATTTGGGGAATGATTATTTGAGCTCCAAGAAGTCATTTGTTCACACCAGCCTGGACCTTTGCTCTGGGAGGAAATGCCCAGTTCCGTGTTTGACCACGTGTGCCTTCTTTCTCACTTCCTTGAAACCAGGGCTTGAGCATGGCCTTGGCCAGCTACACCACTGATTTCCTGCCATCTGCCACTGGTCTGCTGAGTCCCCAGCTCCAAAGTCTTAAAGAGAATCCACCCCTTTCCCACAATCCTTTGACCCATCTAAGAGCACACTCTCTCTCTTAATTTCTTAGGATTAATGTCCTTCTTCCTGGTCCTCCTGTCAGGGAAAAAAAAGACTGTCCGTGGCCCAGCTTGGACCAGGTATTTGCATCCAGGCTGGAGGACTCTGCCCAGGGGGATGGAGCATGTGTGTATAGGGTTCCCTGAGAGTGCATTGGGGTGGGAAGCAGAGGCAGTGGGAAGTGGATGCCCACAGGGGCCTCAGGACAGCTCCCAGCGCTGGAGTCTGGGGCATCTCCTCTGCTGTGGTGGGGCAGGGCAGATGGGCTCCCTGGCTGCTGGGACAAGGGTGTTGAGGACTGTGGTGTTATCTTCTTAATTTCTAAAGGAACAGTTTTCTGTGTGGTTCACTTGGCAACTAATTGTATAGGATCTTTAACTGTTTCTTCCATCGTTGTTGCCAAAAGTTATTTAATTCCTCAGGTGGTTTATTGCCTCCAATATGTGCTTAATTATGTCAGCATCTTCTATAACACTTAAGAGAGTGTAAGTCCGTCGTAGATGTTTACCCCCTCTTGGTTGATTTTGTGGGTGGAAGAGGTTCCCACAGGGTACTGGGCTCCCTTTCATTCTGTCTGTGCCCATGGCCCTGTCCTGCCTCAGAAGCTGTAGCTGCAGGAAGGCAGGACCCTCACAGTTCCAAGACCCTTGGCTGAGCTGGAGTGATACGTGGGGGATATACAGGATGGTTCCCCTAAGGGGGACCATCTCCCAGCTCTGGAAGGACAGAGGGCATCAGGCTGCAAGTTAAGGCTGCCCTGTCCCAGGCGACCCACCCAGCTGCCTGTTCCATGCACCTGACATTTCCCAGTAAACTTTTCTTCCAGTTAAGAGGAAATCCTTGTGAAAGTGTGCTGGGTTAAAAGAGCCCCAGGTTTGGAGCATTTTCTAGACCTCCTTTGATCTTTATGAGCTATTTCTTCATAAGCACAACATCTGAGTTTCTTATTTTTAAAGATGCCAGTACCTGACTCCCTGAGCTGCTGTAAGGATTCAAAGAAATGATGCACATGACCATGTTTTAGAAACTGTAGACCTTTAAGCAGATAGCGTTATCAGTATATCTGAGGCTTGGGTGGCACGTACTTTTACTCTCTGCACCCTCAACTGAATCATTAGTAGATTAGATTTGGTTAAAAGCCTTGAACAAGTGCTCTGGTTCCTGGGCCGGGTGACTTCTGATGGGAAGAAGACCAGAAGCATGGGGGCATCGGGCGTCTGAGGAGCCTGGCCTCAGGCTGAGGCTGGAATCGACTGCTCTAGGTCCCAAGACTGAAGGAGAGCACCGAAGCAGAAGGCGAGCGAAGGTGCATATGTGTGTGTGTGTGTGTGTGTGTGTGTGTGTACACGTACTCTGGGGAGCGAATCAGGGTTTTCCAGCAGAGGGGGCAGGAAGAGGGAACGATGCCCAGTGGACAGCGGGTGCTCACACCTCTCTGGCACTGGCCTGTCTCCCTGCAGGTGCACCTCCGTTCTGCCAGGCGTCTCTGTGAGCTGTGCTGTGCCAACCGGGGCACTTTCATCAAGGTGGGCCAGCACCTGGGGGCCCTGGACTACCTGCTGCCGGAGGAGTACACCAGCACGCTGAAGGTGCTCCACAGCCAGGCCCCGCGGAGCAGCATACAAGAGGTCCGCCAGGTCATCCGCGAGGACCTGGGCCGGGAGGTAGGTAGCTGCCAGGGCCAGGACGGCTGGGTCCTGGGCTGCCGTGCTTCTCGAAGGCCCTGGCAGAGCTCTCGCTGCTGGGGGGCTGGGGCTCCACCGCTGGAGTGGAAATGTACTTCCCGGCAACTCTCAGTAGTGAAATCAAAGGGGTTACAAGGCGCCTCAGTGGCCCTCCGTAAAAAAGATGACTTGAACCATCTGAAATAGTTGATATGCGATTGCTGTTGTTCTGCAATGTAATGGGATTCGTAGGGTCCAACCTAATAACATCTGTCAATTATTGAGGGTTTACCATGTGAGAACAGCTATACTGTGTCCCCTGCATTATCTCACCTCCTCCTCAGGGTAAACGTGGGAGGTGGGTACTGTTATTTACCCCATTTTGCAGATGAGGGATAAAGGCTTAGGTGGAGGAGATTCAGGGAAGGGTAAACCCAATTTAGGGCTGGAGGCCAGGAGGAGCTGGGTTAGGATGGGGGGACCCCAGGCGGAGGGGACAGGATCAGCACGGCACAGGCCTGTGCATGGCTTTGCTTCTTGCCAAGACTATGGGCCTCCTGCTTCCTATAGCACGAGATTCACCCCCAAATTAAAACTAAGTAAATCACTGTAATAACAGTGCGAAGTGCATCATTGCTGGCATGTGGCAGCTCAGTGGGGGCGGATGCAAGGGAGGGAAGACAGCAGATTAACCCTTGGAGGCCGACTTGTCTGTGGAGAGCCAGAGGGGGAGGCGAGAGCTGGTTAGTGGCCCCCTCTAAGTCAGGGTGGAGTGAGATCAGAAGTTTGGGGTGTCAGCTTCATGGTGGGGCCCACCCAGCTGGCCAAAGGATGTTTGGGGTTAAAAGATTTCATCTGCATCTTCAGGGCCTCTTCTCTAGTCCCCCTGGCCATGTAGTCCTGAGCTTGTCTCAAGGCCTCAGAGAAGGGAGGCTAATGTCAAGGTCACGGTTCTGAGGGGGCGTCCTTCACAGCTGGGAAGCTCAGCAACCTCTGGTTTCTTAACCCAGCCCCCACAGGTGCACACTTGAAATCCTTGCTCTCCCCCTGCTTCCTCCTCCCTCCCGGGAAGATGGCATTTGTTCTCTGGTGACATACTTTCTCAGTCTGTGGGTGGAGGGAGGGGAAAGGGTCTGCGTGGGAAGCAGGGTGGGTGGGTGTGGGGGTGTGAGGGCGGGGAAAGTCACTCACTCTGCACGGCCCTCCTCCTCCCGCCTCTCCCGTGACACTGATGGGGAGCAGCTCGCCCCGCCAGGAAGAGGTCTGAGCGGATCCCACTGATTGTGGGCTCCACACCGGCCCTGGGACCCTCCGCGGAAAGCTCTGTTTCATCCCTGGTTTCAGGAATGTGGTTAAAGGGAGCCGAGACTGTCATGTATCGCCATCTGTTGGCTGGGTTCAAGTTCTTGGATGGGCTCTGAAGACCCCTGGAGCTCAAAGACTGCGTAGCTGCCCCTAAATCTTAGACTGAAAGAGCAGGGAGGGTGGCTAGAGGGAGCTCGAGGCTGGTGTGTTGGGGCTGCACTGGTTGATTGCATCTATGCCTCTTGAGGACCCTTCCCATCAGCAGAGGCCTTACAGGGTCACTGGTGTCCTCACACCAGTCCCTGTCCCACGCAGATGGGGCTGGCCCCGAGGGGTGTCCCCAGCAGGGTGTGGGAGATGAGAGCGAGCTTGCATCTCTCCTGAGCCCCAGGATTTGCATGTGGCTCTGAATCCGTGTGAATCCCTGTACAACAGCCAGTGCAGTCAGCGTGGAGGGAGAGCGAGTAAAGGGGCACTGTCGTGGCATAGGGGTGTGTGTGGCTGGGGTGGGGGTGGGGCCGCAAAGCTAAGGGAGAAGGGTGTGAGCGACAGGATGAGGCCTCGGATCTTCTGACTGCCAGGCTAGTGCTTTGTCTTCTATGTAACAGAGTTCCTGTTTGGCAGAAATCGTTTGGAAATCTATTTTCTGTGTCTGTATATCTGTGTCTTGGAAGTTTCTCAGCTAATATTACCAGAAAGAAGCTTGCTTTTTTTCCTTTTATTTTAAGTGCTAGGCTTAAGTCTTGAAGGACAGGATCTGGAAAGCAGTTAGCAGCCCGAACTCTAGGAGGTGGGGTCATTTCTGGTGACTCCAAAGTGACCTGGGTCTGGAGAGGGTTGGAAATGGTCTCCGCCTTGGTGTGCTAACTGCCCTTGGGACTATAGGTCCAGGTGCAGTGCCGACCATAGCCAGCAGATGGCGCCGGAGCTTGAGTGTCAGGGAAGGATGCTGAAGACTTGGCCCTTTCCAGGGGAGCCCTGACTGGCTGAGACTTGAGTTCTTTCTTCTCCTGGTCATGGTTCATGCTGTGGAAGGAGCCCAGGCTGACACCTTTGCACCCTGAATGGGGCAAACATAGGCCTAAGCCATGAGGCTATTGACCACCTTGGTCCCCAGGAGTTCTTGGCTCCCTGCTGGAGGACCTGGCAGGGTTCTGATCACCAACCCATCCTTACACATTCCTCTTCTGGACTAGGAGTCCTCAGAGGCCCCCTGCAGGCATGAGCAGCCTGTAGTTCTGTGTTATGATACCTGTTCCTTCATTTTCCTTTCCTTCTCTCTCGTAGTCCAAGCAGCTGGTATTTAGTGAAGAAGGCACAGTCCTAGAAGCTTTGGGTTTAGCCAAGGATGGGTAAGACCTCATTCCAGCCCTTGTAGTGTGGGGTCATTGGAAGGTACACATCACTGTGGTAGCTGGCAATGTACATGCCCACAGGGTTTACAGGAAAGAGAGAGGGAGACAGACGGGGAGAGAGGTTACTTTTGGGTGGGTGGAGGCTGTCTGAAGCAGATGGCATCTGACCCAGGCTCTCAAGGATGGCTGGGCTCGGAGGAAGCAGAGGGACTTCTGATTGGTGAGATGGGCTAAGCAAAGGTACAGGCACCGGAAAGCATAAAGTACAGAGATTGTGTGGTGATAGTCTTGTTAACTAGCATATGGGGTTCAGGCTGGTGAATAGTGGAGCTGAGATTGCAAAGTTGGTGCCGAGGTCACACTATGAAGGGCCTCGAATGTTTTTTTCATAACATGAGCCTGAGGGAGAGGGGAACTTGGAGAGGGACCCAAGCAAAGGAGGATGGAGTGGGGCAGATTTTCTTAGTGAGGTGGGAGATGAGGTCATCTTTCCCAGGTGGGGAAAGGGAAGGTGGGAGGTTTGAGGTGGGTAGAAAGCTTGGGGAGGGGAGTTATAGCGGGACTTAGGAAGAGATGATAGAATTGTCAGCTGCACTGGTACAGTTATCGGTGGTCATGGACCTCCTCACATCCCTCCTCCCACCCCCCTCCTTAACACACACACACACACACACACACACACACACACACACACAGAGTCTGATCTCATTACAGTATATTTCAGCAAATGATCCAGTTTTGTTTTTTGTTTTGGAATATACTTGAATCAGATTAAGGTTCTTTCTAGCTCTAAAATTGTATGAAAAACTGAAGGAAATGAGGTCAGCTGCCAGAGTGATGCACAGAAATACCTTTGTTAGGGGCACCACTTGTACTGGTGTTGGGAGATTGGGGTTCGGCTTGTGTACTCTGAAATATGTCGGTTTTTTTTTAAACTGCAGTATTTTATTAATTTCTGACTCTTTCTAAATTATTTATTTACTTATTTTAGAGAGAATGTGTGTGCACATGTGCAGGGGGGAGGGGCAGAATGAGAGAGAATCTCAAGCAGACTCCACACTGAGTGTGGAGCCCAATGTGGGGCTTGATCTCAAGACCCTGAGATCACAATCTGAGCTGAAACCAAGGGTTAGATGCTCGACCGACTGTGCCACCTGGATTCCCCTCTGAAACATGATTTATCATATCAGTCTTTTACCCCTGAGCTCCCACAGGGTGGGGATCTAGACTTGAACTTGTTCTGTAACTTCCTATAGTACCCGGGGACACATGCTGTGTGTCACAGGAGATCCATGTTCTTGATGGACCATCTGACCAGAGTGGCCATTGGAATATGGAAGAGAACCACTGTGCATCAAGTGGGTGAATGGTTGTGGTTTCTTATGGACCTACAGGTACAGGTGGAGGGTAACATTCTTGTCTTGCTTTAAAGGCTCAAGGTATAAACAAAAGTTCAGGAAAGAGCTAAAGAAACTTTTCCCCCAGGAACCTCTGTCATTTATTAAGCTTGGGGGGTGGCAGAGAGAAGGCACTCTTGGCTTGAGGACCAGCAGGAGCAGAAGTGGAAGGCAGGGAGGTGAGGTAGGAGAACGCCTGGCCCATATGAGGGCTTCCTGGTGGTGGGGGCACCAGGTGGGGGCAGCGCAGACCCTGGACAGAGATTGGAGCAGGGGCTTCCATTGAGGCCTCAGGGCTGGGTGAGGGGGCGCTGGCCATGGATGGGGGATGGCAAACTCTGGGCTGATCCTTGTCATTTCTGAATGCCTACATATAGGACCTCTGCTGGTACATGGAGAACTGTGTGAGAAGCAGGAAAAGGCACCCCCTCTGGGCACCCCTTCCTGCAGGTGGCAGCTCTGCCAGGGCTGGGTTTCCTTCTTCTATTAGAGTTCTCGAGAGAAACAGAGTCAATAGGGTGTGTGTGTGTGTGTGTGTGTGTGTGTGTGTGTGTGTAAAATAAGTAAAAAAAGATTGACTGGTTTTAGGGAATTGGCTTATGCAATTATGGAGGCTGGTAAATCTTGCATCTTTGGTGCGAGTGAGGAGGCATCTGGTTGGAGATCCAGGAAGAGCCGATATTGCAGTTTGAGTCTAAAGGCCATCTGCTGGCAGAATTCCCTGTTGCTCCAGGAGGTCAGTCTTGTTCTAGGCAGGCCTTCAACTGATTGGATGAGGCCCACCCACCTTATAGAGGGCCATCTGCTTGACTCAAAGTCTACTGATTTTTTTTTTCAAAGATTTTATATATTTATTTGACAGAGAGAGATACAGCGAAAGAGGGAACACAAGCAGGGGGAGTGGGAGAGGGAGAAGCAGGCTTCCCGCCGAGCAGGGAGCCTG